GTCTGGCACTGAGGTATAAGAGTTTCATGGATTCGGGGTGGCTGGGTGGTTCAGTGGGTTAAGTGTCTGATTTTGGCTCAAGTCATGATCTCACAGCTCATAAGTTCAAGCCCCGTGTCAGGCTCTGTGCTGACAGCTCAGAGCCTGGAGCCTGCTTCAGATTCTGTGTCTCCCTTTCTCTCTGCCCTGCCCCCACTCATGCATGCTCTCTCTCTCTTTCTCTCACAAATAAATGAACATTAATTTTTTTTTTTTTTTTTTTTTTTTTTTTTTTTTTTTTTTTAAGCTCAGGTCTTGATCTCACAGCTCATGAGTTCGAGCCCCTTGTCAGGCTCTGTGTTAAAAGCTCAGAGTCTGGAGCCTGTTTCAGATTCTGTGTCTCCCTCTCTTTCTCTGCCCCTCCCCTGCTCACACTCTGTTTCTCTCTCTCTTAAAAAGAAACATTCAAAAAAAAAATTTAATAAATAAATAAGTAAATAAAAAGTTTCAAGGATTCAAAGGGCCTAGCACATATCTAGCATAATAAATGAAAAGCGAGTCATACAAAGGTGATCACAGAAATTTCAGAACACTAGGAATAAAGTGAAGATCTTACAAGCTTCCAGAGAGAAATGACAGATCACATACAAAGATCAGGAATCATAATGGCTTTAGAAGTCTCAATAGCAACATAAAAATAAGAATTCAATAATGCAATATCTTCAAAATAAAGGAATTATTATTTCTAACCTAGAATTCTACACCTAGTCAAACTACCAGTGTGAAGGTAGAATGAATGGAATTTTCAGACATGCAAAGTCTCAAAAATATACTGCTCCCACCTTTTTTAAAGAAAGCCAGTAAAAGATATGTGCGACTAAAACGAGGACATAAACTAAGGGGGACAAAAAAGAGAAAATAAGAGATTTAGGAACCAGTGTTTCCAACACAGAGAGAGGTGAAGGGAGCACCCAGGATGATAATAAAGGGAGATGCCGTAATGACAGTTATCCTCAACAAATTTAGGGTTTACGGCAACCGGTCCTGATTGGAACAGGTCAGAGAGGTATAGATGATGGTTCTTTAAGATAATAAAACTGATGGAACATTCAATACATGGAATGCTCTATCTTTTTTTTTTTTTTTTTTCCAACGTTTATTTATTTTTGGGACAGAGAGAGACAGAGCATGAACGGGGGAGGGGCAGAGAGAGAGGGAGACACAGAATCGGAAACAGGCTCCAGGCTCTGAGCCATCAGCCCAGAGCCCGACGCGGGGCTCGAACTCACGGACCGCGAGATCGTGACCTGGCTGGAGTCGGACGCTTAACCGACTGCGCCACCCAGGCGCCCCTGGAATGCTCTATCTAAATGCATGGAGAGATCCCATTATTAACAGAGAGTTTGGGGTTAAACCAGTGATCAATATATAAAAAACTAAGTAAACAATCAAAAAGATAATGATCAGTTCCAGAAAAAACAACAAGCTGTGTAGAAAGGGTAAAATGATAACATTCTAAGTACTTCATTATGAATAACATTTACATAGTTATAATAATGTAACCACTAAATATTTATCCAAATTTTGATATAACTGTATCTAAAAGAGGGAGAATTGGGAAGAGTGTGTGTGTGTTGGGGGTCAGGGGTAGGGGTGGGGGTGAAAGGAAGCTAAATTCTCACCCTCTGTAGGGAGAATTCAATAGACAAGGCCTAAACCTGAAAAACCAAAAAGTACCAGTATGAGTTGGTATTTAGATATCTGGAGTTGAATCCTAAATGATAAAAGAGTGGAAAGTAGTTGGCTCTGGAGAGAAGGAAATTAAAGTGATATGGAAAGGGGATTATGTAGGTACTTAGAGTTTTGGGAACAAACCCTGTAAAATATTCAATTTTCAGCTGTGTGTGTATCATCTTAACAATAACAAAGAGGAAAAAGAGGAAAGGAAGGAGGAAAGAAGAGAAACAGGGAAGGATGCAATGAGGAGGAGGGGAAGGGAGGAAAGAAAAAAATTTAGAGAGACAATGGAGATAAAAATGAAATATATTAATTGAAAATGAAAACCAAAGTCCAAAACATTTTTGAAAAAGTAAAAGCTTAAAATAAATACAGACTAGATCTCTGTGTCTCCTAGCTCTCAATTTTATATCTAACTGCCAAATGGCAGCATGTAAAAAATGTATTCATGCTTTTTCCCCAAAATCCTCTTTCTTCCATCATTTGTAAGTGATGACACTTTCATGCCACCACTCTGTTCCCACCACTCAACATCCCCCATTCTATTCTCTCCACTCTCTTGATTCTGTTATCACCACCTTTCCAAACTGATCTGCCTGCCTCCTGGCCATCCTCTATCATGCAGGCAGGGTAATCTTTCTAAAATTCAAAGCCAATCATACCACTTTCTTGCTTAAAACTCTTCTGTGGTTCCCACTGCTTTTAGGATAAGGTCTGAACTCCTTAACCTTGCATATAGGACTTCATGCTCTGACCTCTAATTATCTCTGAAGCTTCATTTTTTAACATGCCCAGGAATGCCTCTACCATCCCACCTCATCTCTAAGTTCTAGCACACCATGCTGAAGTCCTTTGCAGGTCCTCAAACCCAGGATGTTCTCACCTCTGAGCCTCTGCATTGCTGTGCTCTCTATTCTAAAAGTTCTTAAACTAAAATTATATGCAAAATTATGTGTGTCTGTCCCTATGTCCATATACACAAATGCACATGCATAAAACTTGCAAATGATTTCGACATTTATAAGGCCCTGAACGCCAATTTTGGGCCTCAATTTAAGAACTCATTCCTTTGGGGCACCTGGGTGGCTCAGCCAGTTAAGCATCTGACTTTGGCTCAGGTCATGATCTCATGGTTCATGAGTTCAAGCTCCATAGCAGGCTCTGTGCTGACAGTTCAGAGCCTGGAGCCTGCTTCTGATTCTGTGTCTCCCTCTCTCTCTCTCTCTGCCCCTCCCGGGCTCAAGTTCTGTCTCTCTCTCTCTCAAAAATAAATAAACATTAAAAAAAAAAAAAAAAGAACTCATTCCTTAAGTTACAAGAAAGCTTACAGGTGCTATAAAAAAGTTCCGAAATACATCATTCAGAATATTTGCATATAAAGCGTACATGAATCACACATGTAAATATTAACTATTTTTCATGTCACTGGAATGTTCTCCATTGCCCTTCCTCCCAAAGAAAGTGAGTTAAATTATTATCTTAAAGTTGGTTTCCGGGGCGCCTGGGTGGCTCAGCTGGTTAAAGCATCTGACTTCAGCTCAGGTCATGATCTTGCAGTTTGTGAGTTCAAGCCCCACGTCGGGGCTCTGTGCTGACAGGTCAGAGCCTGGAGCCTGCTTCGGATTCTGTGTCTCCCTCTCTCTCTGCCCCTCACCCACTCATGCTCTGCCTCTCCTTCAAAAATAAATACACATTAAAAAAAAAAAAAGTTGGTTTCCGTGAGAAGGGGTTACCCAGTGAAAAATGTCCCTTCACTGTTGTGAGAACAGCAAGATCCTAGAATTGAATACTTCTACCTCATAAGAATGCCTGAACATGTTATTACAACAACAACAACAAATAAAAAAAGCTTTAAAAAAATGGATGATATTAGATGAACAGCTGTGTCGAAAGGGGAATGTAAAAATAAAAACTGCATGTTGCAGCCATCAAAATAGTAACCATGTACAGTATATGACTGTTTTTAATCAGATGAAGATTGAAGCTATTACATTTCAAATCAAATGTTATAAATTACTTCAAGAATGCAGCTGAGCTCTCATTTAATTAGAAATGTCCATGTTTAAATCATGAGGTACAGTAGCTGCCAATGAAGCAAAAGGGCAAGGGAAGGGAGAAATACTGTGTCCAGACCATCCGACTGTCAACTGTCTCCTACGCGGGATGAACATCTGGGGAGGACCAGTCCTGATGTAATGGAGAACTTCATGTACTAGCAAATTTGAGATTTAATGTAATTGAACATAACTGTTTTGAAGACAATTAAAATCATTATTCAGGTCTGGACAATTCTGAACTCTTCGTTTTCGTGTGAAACGTATTTCCCCCATGCTGAATTTTAACTCTTTCTTGGATAAAAAGTACAGCAAATTTTGGGCCAAGACTTTCCTGGGAAATAATCCCTAGATTGTGAGGTCACATTAAAAGGCAGCACAAGTGGTGAGGTGCTCCTCTGGAAACAAGTCTCTTTTACTAGTGCCAGTACTTGATGTAGCTCAGAGTCCAAATCTACATCCCAAATGTTAGACAATTCAGTATGAAATACATGAGGCAACATCATACAGGGATTTCTGAGGTCATACAGAGAAGAATGCAATTATCCTAAGGCGGACTTTCCCCCAAAGGTTATGAGCCTCTGCATCTCGTAATTAACCACGGTGCAGCTAGACAGTCCAGGCAAAAGGTCTTTCTTTTCTCCCAATTTGCCTAATTCAAAAACACCTCAAGTGACATAGCTCAAATTTTCCAAATTAAACTTACCCCTGGGGCTGAAATCAAGCATGTGACAGTTCAGTTCCAAAGCAAATCTTAAAGAGAGTTGTACATAGGGAAAGAAAGAAAAAAATCAGAGGAAAAAGGGGTAGGAGTTAACATTTAAGTGGTTTTTCAACCTCATCATTACCCCTGCTCAAGAAAATAGGACACAGATGGGCCAAACACACCATTGTTCTGCCTTGAAGAATCTAAGGAACTCATTAGAAACTACTGTTGTTTTTCCTCATGATCTATGGCAAATCTGTAAGGGACAAATGGTTGATTTGCCCCCATCCCACGGCATTTAGTGTTCCATAGTGTCATGGGGTGGAAAGTGGAGAGAGAAGTCACAAAGCCACGGTATGCACTGCAACCCATGAAAGCCTATTATTGATATAATTCTTCAAGGTCGACTCTTCCAGGGAATTGAGGAATGATTATATTGTCACAAACTGTTCTGATTTGTTTAAAAAAAAAAAAAAAAATGGTTTCCAACCAGGAATGACACACTACCCTAAACTTTCTCTTACTTAGGCCACAGCTCCACACTTGTCCACTTGTACACGAGATAGAGTGTAAATGGGAATGAGGTCCACTGCTCCCAGGCAAGGTGGATCCCCTCTTGAGCCTCCATATTCACAGACTTAAAAGCCTCCACGCTGGCAGCCAAAACAGAATTGCCTTAAAACATGAAACTGGAAACAGCAATCACTAAACTTTCAATCGCATCTAAACCAGCAGCTATGATTTTACTGTCTTACTAGTTGTTCTGGGTTTTTTGTTGTTGTTGTTGTTGTTGTTGTTGTTTTCAATCTGTATAGAAGATTGTTTTTATCCAAAACAAAGAAAAATAAAAGATCAACAGTTCCCTTTTCCTTGCCTCCCAATTGTCATAAAGTTTTGTATTTCTGCCAGCTCTTTATTCCCCAAAGTAGAAGAATTATGCAATGTTCATCAGTCTTAAATAACTTTGTCAGTTTTTTAATTGGTTACTTTCAATTTTTTCAGTTTTACCAAATTAATCTGATAAAATTCTATGTTTTCAGAATGTTTTATGATTACGTTAAAATATACACACACACATTTTTTGAAGCATAAGTATTTGATTTTTGCTCTTATTCAGTAGTTAGAGTTTTTCATTGAATCATTATATCGAAGTACATATTATAAACACCTATACTATTGCTACTCTGAGTTTTCATTAGTGTAATATGACCATTTTAGCCATAGAGATAAATAACAAAGAAGCAAATTTTACATCCTGTGATTAACATTCAAGATAATCAGTCCTATGCTTGCTGGAAGTTATCAGTCAGCTTTTTGCTCTCCAAACAAATACACATTTTGAAAGAAGACACTCAGTTGAAATCAGGTTTACTTGAAAATATTTGGAACACTTTACTAAGCAGTATTAAGATAACATAGGCTTTTCTTTAAACAATTATGATTCTTCCAATTCAAGTTTTCCTATTAAATCTGCCAACATCCCTATGAGACATGGAGCTCATTTCATTTCAACCCATGAACCAACTCAAGATTTCAGGCTCCCTGGGGCACCTGGATGGCTCAGTCAGTTAAGTGTCCAACTCTGGATCTTGGTCTCAAGATCACGTTTGTGGGTTCGGGCCCCACATCAGGCTCTGCACTGATGGCTCTGAGCCTGCTTGGGATTCTCTCTCTCCCTCTCTGCCCAACCCCCCCCCCCGCCCCCCCACTTACACATGTGCTGTCTCTCTCAAAATAAATAAACTTAAAAAAAAAAAAAAAGATTTCAGGCTCCTAACCCAAAACACAACTGTTTGGCATATTTCATTCTTTCATTCCATGCCAAGTTATTGGTGAAATTAAGGCTGATTTCTACACTATTACTTCACAGGTTAAAACCAGAAAAGGTTTCCTTAACCACATTTGATACAGGATCATCTTCAGTGAAAGATTATTAAAACTTGGACCCCATTGCTCATTTTACTAAAGAGAAAATTGGAAACATTTGAGATATACATGTTCAGAAGAATAATGAAATGCAGTTTTAAGATGGATTCTCAGGAGTATTAGGATTTATACAGGAAATCAGTGATTAAAGAACATTCAGGTCTACCTGAATCTTATCCTTCATCAAAAGACATATACATAAAGACACCAAAATCTTACCTAACTAATTAACAGAAGCTGCTATTTAATGATTGATCTGTTGTAGTCTTGATCAGAAAATGAAAATATATTGAGCACTGATACTTCAGGATACCTGTGCCCTGTAAAGAAAACAACACATACATGCTAGAATTTTTTTTCTGTGATGAATCCTTAATAATTTAGATCTTCTGGTGCAATTAAATTTAGTTTAATAGAAAAATTCTGGGGGGTGCCTGTGTGGCTCAGTCAAACTTCCAACTTCAGCCCAGGTCATGGCCTCACGGTTCGTGGGTTCAAGCTCTGCATTGGGCTCTGTGCTGACAGCTCAGAGCCTGGAGCCTGCTTGGGATTCTGTGTCTCCCTCTCTCTCTCTCTGCCCATCCCTCACTCACGCGCTCTCTCTCTCTCTCTCTAAAATAAATAAACATTAAAAATTGTGTTAAAAAAATAGAAAAATTCTGGTATTTGACTTTTGAAGTGACATTGGCTAATCATGAAATTCCCAGGTGGTAATGGCTACTTCTTATAATGTTGCTATATAACCAGATTATAGTTATAACTCTAACTGGTTACTATATAACCAGACGGCTCAGCTCAGATGCTAGCCTTTGGTGTCTACACCAGATCATGTCTTGGACTTGGACTCGCTACTGAGTTTGCCAAGGTTCTCTTAACTCAGTCTAAGATGGTAGCCTCTTCTTTCAGTCGCCAAATCACATCACTCTAAATTCTGCTCCTTCTCAATCTCGTCCTCTAGGCTTTGCCAATTTTTCCTTCGAAAACCCGCAAATCAAACTGTCTGGATAAAAATCTGACATTTGGTAAAACGAGGATAGGCCAATTAGTGTCTGAAACACAGGCTTCTGGGATGTATGCACCTGTCCATTAGAAACTGTTCTGTCTCCACCATCTCCTTTCAGAGGCCACCAACATCCTTCAGATGTTAACGACTTCCAGCTTTTGGTGGCTTATGACTCACTTGAATGTGTAACCTGGAGGAGAAAGCTGCTATACACTTGTATGGCAGCCGCACATTACCCCAAAGTTATTTTTAAAGTTTACAAGCCTGGTTCAGCCTCCTTAAAAGTCCCCCTTAAGCCTACAAAAGCAAATTCAAAGTGAAGGACAAAAGTTTTCAGGCAGTAATTAAACCGTTAGCTATGCTATTATACCTTTGTCGCCCTGTCCCCTGGCAGCCTAACAATTAATCTTTTCAGAGGAGAGGAAAAATAAGTTACACACAGGAACTACAGAGCTTACAGCAGCCCTACACCATTAATTTTAATAACACGAAAAGATAAACATATGTCACTCACTCATAGCCAAATGAGCATCTATAGAGCCCTGCCCTGGTATACATCTAAAATTTATAACTCAGGTTCCTTTACCTAAGACCTTTTAGGCTACTTAAATGTTTTCACATTGCTTAATCAGAAAAAATATGGACGATATAGTTTTATTCCACTCACTTAAAAATAAACGTCTTTAAAATATTTGTAAAACAACAGGTCATTTTCTTAACTAGTGCCACCTTCCCTCATTTTTAAAACTGTAAAAGATGAAGCCAAGAACACGATTATACAACCTCTTACTTTATGTATTTTTTCAACATCCTCTAGCTCCTGGAAGAAAAGAGATAATTTTATTTTTTCATCCTAAATCTTCTTCTGAAAAGCTTTTATTCTCAGTTTCATAGGATACAATTGAATCAAATGCTAGAAGAATGAAATCCTCTCTCCTGCAATTTCTTAAGCATGCATATAGAAAAAAAATTACTGCTGGCAGTAGGAACTGTCAATGGATCTCCACAGAAGTAAATTGTTTGGTGTTTGTAATGGAGTATAATAGCTATAATTCCACTTGAGCTGCTGCCACTAATAAGTTGATAAAAACGGGAAGTTGAGACTCAGGCGTCCATCAGTATATGGCTTCCACAGATGTCTCTGCACGTTCACTTAATCACAGAGACAGGTAACCCAATCCCATTAGAGGTACTATGTCTGACAATGAGGGACCCAAGCTGGCTCTTCCCACAAAGACAATGGAAAAGCATAGCTGCAGACTGACTCCAGAGGGGCTTTCTTATCGGCAATTTATCAGGAATTTTCTTAGACATTTGCAGCTCCTGCAAAGTTGTAAGGCGGTAACTTAAATGTGCTCATCATCAGAAATGGGCTAGGGGAAAACACTTCCTTCTCATGAAAAATAGCCACCGAATCAAAAATGACTATCAGAAATTAAAACATACTGTCTCAAATGCTTCAGGATTGTGACTCTAATGCTCACCTGTTGCCAAAAATTTAAATTTAATCTACTTAATGATAAGTCTGAAAATACACTGTGTTCTGTGTGTGCATGAAAGTAAAAACAAGTGGTATCTAGAACTGTGTGTCACCACATGAACATATTAACGAGAGTAAAATAAAAAGTGGTATCTCTCACAGGAAACACTGGCCCAGGGAGTAAGGAGGCTTGAGTTCCAGTCTTCTGAATTGCTGAGTGATCTTACACACATCACTTAAAGGCAATTGCCTAAGAGTTTTTATATGGAGAAAATGGAGTAGAAATAATAATGTTGTAATGAAAGTATGGGCTTTGCTGGCAGGAGAGCTTTGAAAAGTAGCTGGTATTTGGCAAGTTTATTTTTTATTTAACCTGTCGAATAAAAAGCATAAGGTACAATTATGCTCATTCTATTAATGATCACATAAATGGCCCATGAGGGAAACATTAAACCTTTATGTAAATATATCCTCCTCAGGAGCCTGAAATCTTGAACAATGCTCATCTCAGACACTCGCTCTCCAATGTGAATTAGTGCACTGCTGAGCGTATGCAGGCTTTTGGAAAAGAGCACATGTGCACATCTGAGTAACCGATCTATCTCAGTATCCTGGGGTCCTGCAAAAGCTGTAACAGCACAAGAACAAGGAGGGAAGTCTAAGAAGAAAGAAGAGTGTTCTGTAGCACTGTCTGCATTATACAAAAATTACTGTATTTATCAAAACACTACATATTCGCTTCAATTGTCTGTTGTTCCTACCATTTTTTTCAAGAAGAGCTGCTTTTGCTATGTTCTCAACAATGTATTTCCTTCTGGCTTCTGAAATATTTAGTAAACAGGCAGCCAAACAGAGCCCCAGTCTGGAGGAAGACATGGTGATTTTTCTAGGAGAAAAAGTATTGTTCATTTTGGTCTCTGTGGTGTGTTCATACTTTCATGTTCATTAACCTTATAAAAATTAGTTTTTTGGAAACCAAGCAGTCATAATATGAACATTTCACCATTTCATTACTGCAGAACACCTGAAGGATAAAATCCTCAGATCGAGTCAACCAGGAAACCATGCGTAGGTGGCCACACACATATGAACGTAGGAACATAGTTAACACCACTAGAACACACAGGGCAAGTTACTCAGCCTGAATTGTCATGGAAATGAAACTTTTTTGTTAAAGTATATTATTCCCTTTGAAACATCATCTTCCTTAGTTTATCCTCTTTTTGAGGTCTGTCCTATGTATCAAATAAGCATGATCCTCTTGTTAAATGAGACTTAACTAGGGAACTGTAAAAAAGAGAAATGAAGATTCTTATAAAAATTATTTTTCTGGCAAAAAGAAAGGTTATCTCTATGGGCCATGACACAGGCAATATATGAACAAATAAAAGGGACTCTTTGGGTGCTTTAAGTGACAACTATTTGACTAAATTCCTCTTATACTTCAGTCTCCAAAATTCCTGTATCAGTTGAAAATCTTTTCACAGGATTCTCTTCCTGGAACTGAAATCTGATATATATCCTACGTGAACCAACAATGCCAAAAATGTGACTGATCCTTTTGGTGAAAATGCATTAATTACACAAGTTTTGGAGGTTGCTTTGATTCTTTTTAGTACCGAGAATGGCATTTTTCGACTCTCAAATATTATTGACTAAAGAAATTTAAATATCTCAAAATAATAAGAAAAGAATTCCCCTTTTCAAGACCAGGCCATATTTAGGTCTCTTTTAAACATCGTAACTAAAAATAAATGTGGCCCTCACGAATTCATTCAACAAATTATTTGATAAGGGTTATTTTGTATCGGGTAATGTCCTCAGTGTGGGGAATACCGCAGTGAATGGTGCCCAAGCTTGAGACAGACTTTAAGCTTATGAGTTTTGGCTAAACCGTGTGCTCTGCTGCAAATAATAGTACTCTCGATGCATCAATCCTCTGGCTTCTGTTCACTAGGATTGTTCATGGGCCTAATCATCCTAACCTAGAGGGAACGCAAGGCTCCATGTTAGTTCAGGTTTGTAAGCAAGTTTTCATCTTGTGACCATCATCTCATGATTGAAAATTCATGAAAATACGGTCATTAGGCTTTTGTAGACATTAATAACATTGTTGTAATAAAGCAGCTCAGACCTCTCTCTTCTGTGTAAACAAAAAATTGCTTTACACAAGGGGTGTGGGCGTCTTCTGGCTTTCATTTGTTTTCAGTGTGTTTATGTAGCTTAATTGTCTCATCAGGCACTTTCCCAACATAATTATGCTTTTTAACAAATGGTGTTTATGGCAACCCCTAACAGTGCAAAAGAAAGGATTAGTTTCATCCTCTCATTCCACATTTTGATTCCCTGTGGACAGTTAAATCACACAAAGATGGTGTTAGAAAAATCTACCTTCACAGCAAAAGCTGAAATTAGCGGCCACCGGAATTTTGGAGAGCAGTCAAGCTTGTTAGTGAAAAGGGTAAGTGTTTCTCTCCCTCTTCCACTTACAAAGTAACCCAGAGCAACCCCGCAAACACTCTGTGGTTTGGGAGCCGGCGCTCCTAGTGCGCCCATCCCTCCAATCCCAGTTCGATTACTTCCGGCCATAAACCAAAAACCGGC